GTGTACAGCCTGCCATCTCACTACAGACTGCAGTGGAGTCTCTGCTCCGGCACACGTCCTCCTGTTGCGAAAAACGGGGAAATAAATCCGGTCTTGTGAGGTTGGCACTGAATATGTGACAGACGCAAGTTGGGAAACAAATAGTAATTGTTTATTTACAGCAACATTTACAGGTTCTTTTGGATTGCCGGTGATAAATTGAAAAGCTACAGGTACACTAAAGGTTGTATAACTAATATAATACCAACAACAATGCACTATGAAACACACAAACACTAACAACAACAACAACAACTTGCCCACAGTAAGTCTGGCCACCTGGCAAATAAACAAGCCCGTTCGAACAGAAATACAGTGGAGTAAAACCAGGAATACACTCAGGGAAACCTAGAAATGAACCTGAGGAGAAATATAAAATACACCCAGGAAGTATACACCTGAGGAGGAAATATATATGAAATACAATCAGGGAGTATGAACCCAAGGAGGAAAATATCAAATGCACTTAGGGAGTATACACCTGAGGAGGGAAATATAAAATACACTCAGAGAATATGAACCATAGGAGGAAATATATTACTCAGCGTTATCTGAGGTAAATAATCTTACCCACAAGGTGACCCAAGTGGTGGGGGTGGAGAGGGAGCGAATTCGCCAATCCATCCAGTTGTTGGTATGGTTCCAAGTTCATCCTGTCCCCATTCTTGGGCCAAAAGTGGGGTGATACGTATACTCAAACTTTTACATTACATCACCAGGGCATACATGTGGGTGGGAATGACTATAGACAATCTTATCATTTATGCTAATGTCACAAAGTCCGTTAATTCACACCTGCATGGGTAGAGGTAATGGCTCCTTTTGTTTGGGGTGGAAAGAAATGGGGGACTGGGACCATGAGGCCTCCACCTCATCTGACACTCCTCCAGGCATCTAGATAACACCAGATACGGATCTAGTGATGGTTGCCACCTTGCCCAGTGCTTGCCACCTCGCCCAGTGCTGAGTTTCACGCTTCCAGGCATGCAGCTACGTGTGCAGCATGGTGTACATAACTTGGACTTTGTGACTAACTTTTGCTCGCTCTCTATACCTCCCTCTCCTTTCTTCACCAACCTTGGTGTCTGCATAGTTGTTTCTCTCACATCCCTCTCCTCTCTCCACTGCAGTTTCCACAGCAGGTTGGTTTTTTTTCCTCTTTTTATATATGTTATCACAGAGGCACTACCATTGTTGCTGATTGGCTTGGCCTTGGCCAGAGGCAGGTCTGACTGGGACCTGGAGAAGCTTCCAGCAGCTTCTCACTGGAGCCACCTCTGTAGCCCCTCCCCTGCTACCAAAACCCCACCACAAAAACCCAATACAACTCCACTCCATCTTAAATCAAGTAATAGATTTTAAGCAGAAAATAGTCTAGTCCAACCCACTGCATACTATAGGCCACAGAACCACACCAAATAACTCAGGCATCACATGTATGGATATCAGAATGAAATCAGAAAAGGATGGGTAGTCTCATCTCTGAAATTATGTCAAGATAGCAGGAAGTTTTAAATTCTAGTCTTGGCCCTTCCACTGACTTGAGAAAGTCGTATAATCAGTTTGCCTATGTGTCACTATTTAAAAAGTCAGAGTACTTACTTATCCCACAAGGATACTGTCAGGTTTAATTAATTATGTCTGTAAAATCCTCTCTAAATGAAAAGTGGCAAGCATAATTTATTAATTAAGTCTAAAACACCACCGCAGAATCAGAGACTGATCATTGTTTTATCAAGAGAACAACATTTCTAATAAAAAGCATTTCAAATGAGAGATTATAATAACAGCCTTTTTCACTTATGTAGACTTTTTTGTGAGGAGCAAGGCAATAGACTTTTGATAAGCTCTAGGAATAGAAGTGTAACCAAGAACAAGAGACACAGGAACACTCGTCCACTGACATTAATGTGGCACTAGCTAAACAGCATTGCATAAATCATGAGAATGGGGACTATACACCAAGCACTGCTGTAGGATCAAGCTGAAAGAAAACTACTCCTCTGCCTATTAGATGTCACTTGCTTGCAAGGGCCTGTGAAGGTCACCTAGACATAGACATCCAGAACCAAGTATGGCATTGGTAGCCCAAAGCTACCTGTAAAGTGACACTGTATGATCAATAAAGGGCCTGATCTGTATCAGTACGACTCCCCTGTTGTCAGCTCTCATGCTCACAGGTGTGTCACAGCAGGCAGAATCCAGGTGTCAGTTACGAATGACAGCTGTCCTTGATGCAGACCTCCTCTCTGGGTGCAGTGGGCCCTCTTGTTTGGTCCTCTTTTTCCTATGACAGCAGCTGTCTTAGCTAAGGTACTCCTCACTGGGAAATTACAATTCAGTTAGTGCTCACTAGGGCCAGGAATTCATTAGCACAGATATAAGAGTAGTTCAGAATATTCAGAAAAGATGTGGATCAAGCAGCCTGTGAATTACACTGATTCAGCACATCCACTGGACAGTCCTGTGGCCCAACTCTTTCCTGGACAACTCCCCCTGTTTGGCCTGTACTGGCAAGCTCCACACCCTTAGCTCCAATAGTGGGAGTTTCAGAGGAGGAAATGAATCATGTCCTTGGAATGCAACGGAAATCCCACAGATCTAAGAAAATAGTTATTCATCTGCATGTGTATACGTCCATACCTCTCATATATTGCCAATTACATTTCAATCAGATATCACATATGAATAAAAATACCCCAGATCTAGTGGAATTTAACATTAGGTGGCATTCCAAAGATATGGTACATGATTTTAAATCAAATAAGCAGTACTATGTGACTTAAAATACAACATCAACTGAATTTGGGCCCAATCCAGCACACAATAACCACAGTTTTTTCTAGGCTATACAGACATCAGGTTTGAATGGTTGTGCTATGGCAACATGACACATAATTCAGATATATCAACTTGTTACAGAAAGTAAAGACAGTAAGGGATTGTCTAAACTGGGTCAAAATGCCTTGCAAAAATATTTTAACTAAAGTTAATAAAGTGTAAGACAGGATGGGCAAAGTTTGATTTGTGAGTTGGCCAAGACAAGCCCATTGGGAGATCCCCTTAAGTTATTATTAATTGGTTTATATTTGCATGTCAAGTCCCCACTTCAGGGTCACATCACCTCTCTGTCACTTTGTTCCCCAGCTTCCTCCTTTTTTACCACATAGACTTAAGATGGCCAGACACAAGAGCATGCTCACATAGGCCCAGCCAAACAGCACAGCTCTTCTGCTAGCAAAAAGGGTGGGATAGCCACAGCACCAAACTTTCTGGAACAGCCAAGCAGTTCAGACACAAGCCCCAGCTTTTTAAAGCAGCATTGATGCTAAAGGCCTGAATTTAGCTGCAGGCTCCAACACAGGTGCCTATCTCACTTGCTAACAGGGCATTTTCAGGGTGCCAGGTGCCACCTTGGCAGGGATGCCCACGTTGGGCAGGGACAGAGCTGAAGCAGGCAGATTATGCTGTGAGCAAATCTTTGCCCCTGCTGCTGCTCAACAAAAAGGCACTGCAGGTAACAGCATTATTTGGAAATAAGGCAAGAGGTGTATTGCGCTGCAGATCTCAGGGCAGCCCAACTACATCTTTCTTAGTGTTTGAGACAGCTGGTAGCAATCTACCTTCAAATATGCTCTAGCTGGATGGTTATGGTGAAGACATTGGAAGAGATACGACGCCACCAAAAAATGCAGTAGTTACACCATTTGGATTGTCATCAGACCTCTGTATGTGTTCTTTCCTGGAGAGGTAGAGGTGTGCATTTTCTTCTAAGCACTTCTTCAGTCTCTGGCTTACAGGCAGTTACTGCACATGAAGAGCTGAGTGTGGCCTCCTGCTCCAGCTCAACTTTCACTCTGATTTAAAAAGATTTTATGTGACTAGGTAACTGAATCTGCCACAAATATCAGAATTCAGGGCCTCTTCCCATTCATATGCTAAAATGCACGTAGGAGTGAGCAGGACAAAGAAGCCCCAGGGATGGAGTCCATTGTCCTGCAAGTCTTTATATGAAATTTGCACCATATTTGATGGGACAATTAACAGCTGCACATTTTCATTACATTTCTTATGCTTGCAGCGCTTCGCAATGGCAGCACTGCCCTTTCCCAGCCGCCTGAGGTGGTACGAGTATTTCCATTCTCATACTGCTGCTGCCACCACTACTAAAACTGCAGAGCAGATGAGCACGTTGGGAGCCACAGTCCATTTTGCCTGCTGTTACATCCTCACAGAGTCAAAGTGACAGGTTGTAAAAAGCCTTTACAACCCGGTAGGCTGCACGTAGCGGTGTGAATTAGAATGACAGGGCTCTCTTGTGTAGAAAGCACAGAAACTGCTTTCTAGGGTGGCTTCTGGCATCATGCTGGCAGCTGGGGACATCTCTCTGAGGCAGCACACTCCAGATGAACAGTGCTCAGGGCTGTTTCCTAAAACAAGACACCAGGACAACATGTGTATGACTGTACGGTCTGACCAGACCTATTCCCTCCTAGGCAAGGGTGCTACTCGCCAGTGTTTTCATTCACAAAGACTGCAAAAAACTGGGTTCTCTTTTAATGCTACATGTGTAAAAATGCTAAACTGGGCCCCTAAAAGGACTGAAACATCAGACCGACTCCAAAATATCAGAAATACAGGTTGCCTTAAGTCCAGTTTGAGCCTTCCTCACTTAAACAAACCCAAAACACACACCCAGCAACTAGGAAATCTGCTGGGACTCAAACTGGGGGAAGAAACAGTTAACAGCAATCGGCAGCTCAGTCAAACCACCCGACGAGACAGGCAGAAGGAACCCGCCCTCAACCACCGAATCCGGCTCCTCCCCTTCCCCCCAGTCCTGGCTGACAGCCGTCATCGGCTCCCCACCCAGCCTCTGCCCCGCGCTGCATCACGTGACCGCGCGCTGCTGTCGTCACAGGCGCAGGCGCAGGGGCTGTTGGCGGCGGCGTTGGGAAGCGATGGCGCTGCTGGTGCGGGATCCGCTGGCTGTGCGGGCGCGGCCCTGGCCGCTGCCCCCCGGCGGCGGATCCGTGCGTGGCCTTCTCCGCGATCGCGCTCGGGCGGTGGTGAGGGAAAGGTTTTGGGGGTGATGGTGGGGCAACCGGGG